GGCTCAAGCGATCTGCCTGTCTTGGCCTCCCAAAGTGTTGGAACTAAAGGCATGAGTTATCATGCCTAGCCTAAAATATTTCTTTTCTTTTCATGAGATGGAATCTAGCTCTATTGCCCAGGCTGGAGTGCAGTGGTGTGATCTCGGCTCACTGCAACCTCCACCTCCTGGGTTGCAATTCTCCTGCCTCAGCCTCCCAAGTAATGGGATTACTCTACAGGTGCCCAGAACCACGTCTGGCTAATTTTTGTATTTTTAGTAGAGACAGGGTTTCACTATGTTGGCCAGGCTGGTCTCGAACTCCAGACCTCAGGTGATCCTCCCGCCTTGGCCTCCCAAACTGTTGGGATTACAGGCCTGAGTCACTGCACCCAGGCTATATTTCTTAGTTTAAATTTGTAATTCAGCAAATATCGATACATATAATTGACATAAATAAAAGTTGCTTAAGGGCCTCAATATTTTAGAGAGCAAAGGAGTCCTGAAATAAGATTGCCATTTAAAACACAGTACATCCAGTTAAATTTAAATTTCAGATCAACAATAAATATTTTTAAGAGTATGTCCCAAACATTACATCATGGAGCACACTTACACTGAAAAAAGTTATTCAATGTTTATATGAAATATGAAATTCAAATTTAACTGGTGCTTCCTCCCCTAGGCCCCTAACCTAAATCTGGCAACTCTATCTGATACAAAATGTTTATCCTAGGCATCCCAGATGAAACTGCTGTTCTAATCCAAACAAAAACAGCATTCCACTTTCTAGATATTTTTCCCCATTTGAGAGAATGGGCCAGTTTAAAAATTTGCATGCAATTAAATTAACTCAAAAAAAAGTTCCTCTAGGAAGAAAAATATCCACTAGACATTATCCAACATAATAGAGCACGGAAACTTTTCCAAAGTGGGGAACAGAAAGATTGTAGAGCTAGTAATTACTCAAGATGAGAAATGAAAGCATTAGCTTTTGGAAAAGCATAGGTCAATAACTTGGGGGGTGGTGGTGTTTAATTCATTTGTGCAAACAAATTTACTAGGATATCACTCCTGAGGATAAAGGAAAGCAGCAACATGCTGAATGAGTAAAATGCAGTTAACAAGTTTTAAATGGAAAAGAAGGCTGGGCGGAGTGGTTCACGCCTGTAATTCCAGCACTTTGGGAGGCCGAGGCAGGTGGATCACCTGAGGTCAAGACTTTGAGACCAGCCTGGCCAAAATGGTGAGACCCCACCTCTACTAAAAATACAAGAATTAGCCGAACGTGGTGGCGGGTACCTGTAGTCCAGCTACTCGGCAGGCTGAGGCAGGAGAATCATTTGAACCAGGGAGGCAGAGGTTGCAGTGAGCCAAGATCATGCCACTGCACTCCGGCCTGGGTGACAAAGCAAGACTCCGTCTCAAAACAAAATAAATAAATAAAATAAATAAATAAATAGAAAAGAAAAGAAAAAAAAAAAAAAAAAAAACTCTTAACAAGTGTCTCCCATTCATTTTATGTACATATGAACAGTGTGAAAGTGATAATGGCCACCACCTCTAATTATAAAGAGAAAGACAGAAAACCATTCTCTGCATCAGCTAAATAAGAAAACACTACTAGACTTATGTAAAGAGAACTGCCCTCAGTCCTAGGTACCAAGTGCCCCCTACAGAACAAGGAATTGGGGCACCCTTTCCCTAGAGCTGCAAGGTCCAGTAT